GGTGGCTCATGTTTCAATATTGGTAATACTTTTGTATGTTCATGTAAGCAAGAATGGTCAGGTCCAACATGTAGTATATCAAGTTCAATGACAACACCAGCTCCAACTACACTACCTAGTAAATTCTTTTTTTTTCATTTGAAATGAATTCATTTTTTTGTTAAAATAATTTTGTTTTCAAAGATGTCAATCCTTGCAATCCGAATCCATGTTACAATGAGGGTGCCTGCTTTCGACATGGTAATAGCTATGTGTGTGTTTGCAAATCACAATTTACAGGTAGCCTATGTGAAGTGCCTCGTATAACAACGACACCTGCAATCTGTATGTTGTTTCGTTTTTTTTCTTATTTAATATAACTACTATTGTTATTTTAATAATTTTTATAGCTACAATTAGGTGTACGAGCCAACCCTGTCAAAATGGAGGTACTTGTTTTGATTCTGGTAATTCATACTTTTGCTATTGTGGACCAAATGGTCGTTATACTGGTAAAAACTGCGAAATAGTTAATGCACCATCAGTATCCAGTAAGATTTTGTTTGTTTTTTTTTGTTTCTTAATTTTAATATTATCTTTTATTAAAGATTGTCCATTAAACTGTGCACCTGGATATTGTGTAAATACTGGTGTTAGTCAAAATGCATATGCTTGCATATGTAATGGTGTAATGACTCCAACAAGATGTCCATTGAAATAATCGAAGAATATTATTAATCAGACAGAAGAAATAAAAGACATATATCAATCATTTATTTTTTGTCTGGTGTTTGAAAATGATCTAAAATAAATATTTTCTGCATTATATATGCAATATATTTGATGTTTATGTAAAAAAAAAAGAAAGATCTTTTTTGAATAGTAACATTCCAAATAAGTAGATAGGTTATATGGAATTTAATTACAAACTATTAATGATGATTGAAAAATAAAAGATAGTGATTATAATTATATTGATTATAAATTCAATAGAATGAGAAAAAAAAATGATTTATTTTGACATAGACTTGTTCAACATCATACAATGATAGAATAATTTAGATATATTTTCTTTCATTAATTATGTTTAGTAGTAATTATCAACATAATCAACGTGAACTGTTATGACTAGATATTAGCGAGAGAAGGTTTGTTTTGATCTCAGATTGGAACAAAAACAAAAAAAGATTTAGTAACAAACTTAGAAAATGTTTTATTAGCATAGAGCTGAAAATAATTCTTTACTATTGTCTATAAATTTCGAATATGTTACTACTACTCTATTATAATCTATTTAGCCGTGAATATTCTCTTTATTTAATGTTCAATTAGAAACCTACAGAAGCAGTTATCTAAGTGACGATCTTGATGAAAAAAAAGTTTTTAGCGTCAGGATTAAGACTGAGACCATTTTTCTGTATTTAATTATGAGATTGTTGGAGAGAGCATCCGATAGTTTAGCTTTACTGTTCATATTTGTATGATTTATGAGAGATGTGCAATAGTGAGATATGTCTACATTTAATCATCTGTTTGCGCATTAAATAATGATAGCTACTCTCTAGAGACTATGAGTTGGTAGAAATGTAACATTTTTCCTTTCATCTTAATATATAGCTCTAAATAGACACCAGCAAACTGGTCTCGATTTATGTTTTGACATGATCAAATATAAAATGTTTTTATGTGGAACATCAAAATTGAGACGATTGCTCTTGTTAATCTCTAAGTGAACATTTAACAATGAGTATACGACTGTCTAAATAGGTCGCAGTATATTAAAAAAAAAAACAAAGATGTTTGAAACCTATAGATAGTAGTAAAAAACTTCGTTGAGCTGTATTCAAACAAAACTTTTACAAAACCAAGTATTAGAACTGAATCTTTTATTCTTTCACCGAGATCGATATCAAAACGAGTACTCTTGCTCATGTCTATTTGTAAAGTATAGTTAGATGCATAAATACTTGTCAATTTAATAAGAACGAACATTTGTTTTGGTTCTTCGAACGAGAAATTTCTGATAGAGAAAATTTCTTTTTATTTCTTTCTGTATGGAAAATATAGTATTTTGGTAATGCAAGAAACATGGAGATGCATATAGTCTAATGCTAATTTTTCACTTTTCTTTTCTTGACAGTGTAGGTGTGACTACTGTGTGAATGTGGGTGTTAGAATTCGGTGGTTTCAGTTCGGTTCCAAAAATATCATGTGGAATCGAAATCGTTAAATCATCAGATAGATACGAAAATTTTAAATATATTTTGAGAAAGTATTACTATTAAATTGTTGATGAAAAAATAAAGATTTCTCTACATAGATTTAAGAATTTGTGTATTTATCTAATGATTAAATGGTTCAAGCGTTCTCTTCCACGGTTCTGATTCCAAGAAATTTAAAAACATTGGCTTCGGTTCGATTCTCGGTTTCTTTTTTCTTGAACGGTGTGGATGAAGAGAAGATCCACATTCACACTCAAATTATCGATCATTCATATCTAAACTATTTTGATATCATATATCAATAAAGATTATCTTATTATCGCATAAAAATTTTACAAAAGTTTAACGACATGAACTGTTTTTCAATGTTTTACAAATGTAGTTTAATCTATTAATTTGTCAAAGTCATGTTTCTTTTTGTTCGATTATCATTCATTTAAATGAGACATTCAGATTATGTTAATCTTGACTAAATTTTATACTAAATTAAGAACACTCAATAGTAAATTTTAAGATGATATATCATATAAAAATCATTCGAGAAATTTATTATTCATTTGAAATATTCGATATCAGTTCCGTTTATCTCAATTTTTAAAGATAATATTACGTATTATTTCATTTCATTTCATATTATAGAGATGTATGTGATTAGATATACTAATCTTCTATGTATTTTTATATACATCAAAATCATGCCATTCATAGCTTCGTAAATTGAGAAAACATATTATAGTTGAATTTTTTTTTTTACATTCAAAAGAAATTTTTTAAAATAATTTCTGTGGAAGAGTAAATTAATAACATGAATAGCTTTGGTATTATATATGATAATTATATTAATGTCTGTGATATATTCAAATCAATTGAATAGAATAGGAGAAACTTCTGTTGATCCTTAGATTAAATGATCGAACAAAACTTTTATTTTACTAGTCAACTTAAACTATCATTGTTATTCAAAAATATCTTAAAATTGAATAAAAATAAATATTTCCTATTTTGGATTTAATCTTCTTTGACATATTAATACATTTTTAAAATAGAATCTTCGATAGTATAAACACAATTTATACAATTTTTAAAATAAGGAATGAAGAATAACATTGAAATGAACTGATAAATTGATCACATAAAGTATTTTCTTGAATTTTTTTTATTAAATTTTAGTTATCAATTCAAGATTTTTTGCTAACAAGCTTATGCATATATACAAAATAAATTGAACCTTAATCGATCAATATTACAATTAATAATGAAATAGATTTCAAATTTGTTTTTGTTTAAAGTCCAAAAAAAACCAAATGACTCGAAATTTCTGTCAAATTCAAAAATATTTGGTTCAATTGAGATTCGCGATTTTTATTATATCATCAATATTAAATATTATAAAGCTTCTACCAGACACATGAAAAAGTACAATTATATCCGTTTAGTCCAATCCCATTTACTATTGATTTATTTATCGACGGACAGTTTTGATAACTTTCTACTTTCTTTATGATTGTT